CGGCATTTTTGTACATCATCAAATAGCCAGGTGGCATTCATGCTTCCCTTCCTGTCTAATCTTTGTCGTCTTCTTTAAAAAATAGTTTAAATCAGGGTCCAAACAAGATCTATGAATTATGATATTGTGCTTTATTAATATGTCTCTTAAATCTCTTAATCTAAGTTTCAGATTTCCTCTTCCATGTATTTTTTTACTCCTGGCCTTTTGTGTGTGTATGTGTCTGTGTGGCAGAAAGCCAGGTTTTTTTTTGTTTTTTTTTTAAAGATTTTATTTATTTATTTGACAGAGAGAGACACAGCGGGAGAAGGAACATAAGCAGGGGGAGAGGCAGAGGGAGAAGCAGGTTCCCTGCTGAGCAGGGAGCCCGATGTGGGACTCAATCCCAGGACCCTGGGATCATGACCTGAGCCAAAGGCAGACGCTTAACGACTGAGCCACCCAGGCGCCCCACAGAAAGCCAAGTTTTTATCCTATACAGCAGTGGCTCTCAAGTCTCTTTGACCCTCTTAAGAATGACTGAAAACCCCAAAGAGTTATTGTTTGTATGGGTTATATCTATTAATATTTTCTATATTCAAAATTAAAATACATAATTTAAACTATTTACTTAAAAATAACAGTAGCAAGCCCATTACATTAATATATGTCTGCACAGTTTTCATGAAACATAATCATAGTTTCCATAATGGAAAAATGAGAGAAGTGGCACTGTGTTACATTTTTGAAAATCTCTTTCATGTCTGGCTTAATAGAAGATAGCTGGATTTTCATATCTGCTTCTGTATTCAATTTGTTGCAATATGTTGTTTTGGTTGAAGTGTATTAAGAAAATCTGCTTTACACAGATGTGGGGTTGGAAAGGGGGAGGAGTATTCTAAGTTTTTTCATTAAATGGTGGACATTCTTCTGTGATACTACACCAAAAGTTGACAAGTGGTAGTTTCTTAAAGGTAAGTTGCAGTGAGCAATTTGAAACCCTGACAATGAACTTTTCATACTACATTACATTAAAATCCATTGGTCTGTCATACACTTAAATGGATCCTTTCCAGGCATAATTTTGTGACATCAAGTATGGTTATTTGGAAAATACTGCTTCACTGAGTTATGCAAATCTCCCAAATGTTGACATATGTCAAATATAAAATATTTTAAAAATCCTATTCATGACTGTTACCACCCATCTCCTTAGGAAAGTATTTAGCTACTGGGAAGCTGTCAAGCTCATGGTGGTAGATACACGTTTTCCAAAATCATGGTTTTCCCTTGAATGCTCAAATTGTATCTTCAGCAGCAAATGCTGTCAGTGTTTTCCTTGTCGCTGACAGGCTCACTTCATTTATTTTTGACAAAATATTTGCCAGATATCCAAACCTGAATGAACAACAGTTTGTTAAATCAATGGCATCCCATGGAAAAAGCAGCTCATTCAGCTTGCGTCTCAAACAGTTCACGGGTGCTCTTCCTTGGTGCTTTGACACACCCAAGCGCTCTATGTGTGCTTCCCCTTTCATCACACAGAATATTGAAAAGATGTGTATTCACATATCAAGACTTAATGAAAGCTGTTACTTGACTTCATCAAGGATGATCTCGGGTGAAACTGGTGTTTCTTTTAAGTACAAGGTGGTGAAGGAGGCAATGACTACTCCTACCCTTGGGTGCCATCAGTGTGGATGTCAACATAGCAAAGAAAGCAAATAATGGGTTAGTATTTTTATGAAAATAGTTTTGACTTCTTGGGCCTTTTGAAAGGGTCTCAGGTCCTCCCAGGGTCTGTGGACCACACTTTGAGAATTTTTGCTAAGAGTTTCTGACAGTCTGAATTTTACTCCCTCTCTATTTTTATGGTGTGATTTAACATGTCTCTTTGCCTCTGGTATTTCCTGTAAATAGACTTGATCAGATTAGGTTTGGTTTTGTTTTTTCTTGGCAAGACGACTCTGGGTTTGTATTCTTAGTGGTCATCGATGGCCATTGCCAAAGCCATTCATTTATTGAGGATTGAAAATGGTAATGTTTCAGTTTTGTCATTCCTTATTTTTTTTAAATTTTTTTAAAGGGTAAAGTGGGTATCTTATTTATTTGTACTTAAACCTATAAACCAATCAGCCAAACTGGTACTATTATCATGATACATTAAAATACAAAACATCTTTCTACAAATACTAGAATAATGAACAAATTAACAGTTCTAGTAAAACATCATAGGGGACAGAAGAAATCAATGAAGCACATCATAGCTTAACCCTTCACCGTTAACAGTTGAGGTTATTAACAAGAAAAGCCTCACAATCTCAGAAAATACAAATTATCCTTCATACACATCTTTGTATCTTCACTTCCTATTCTTTAGGTTAGATTCTAGAGCCTAAAGCTATCCACATTAGGATTGTATCTAGTTATCTATAGCCAGAAACACTTCTTATCATGTTGTCCATAGCAGTGGACTGCTACTGAAACCTCTTTGATTCCAATCCCCTCAATGGACACAATAAGAATAATGGGAAACAGAATATCGAGGTAGAGATATATAGGACCCTAAAAAACAAAGCCTAGGAGAAGTAATATAGCCACTGCCCAAACTGAGACCAAATAATATTCTCATAGTCACACATCTTCAGGCTGTATGTTCACAGAGTAATTTGGGAACAAATCCATTATTTGCTGGGTACTAAAATACTTAGCGGATTGTTGTATTACACTGTGGCTTTCCCCAGAACTTTCTAAGACGGACTCCAAATCGCTGATGGAATTTTACTGGAACTGGATCTGGGGCTGCAGGGATTCCTGTCCACAGTTCTGGAGCTGATTGTTCCAGGCTTGGGGGCACCAGGTCTGACTGGCCCAGGAATGGTTGCTCCAAGACTGGCCATTCCCAGGAGTGGTTGCTCCAAGACTGGCTGTTCCAGGTCTGGTTGCTCCAATTCGGGTTATTCCAGGTCTGGTTGCTCCATACTGGAAGGTTTCCGGAAGTGTTCCTCAGGTATCCCTGGTGGTAGGAATAGAAGCCTGGGTCTTCTGCGGTGGCTGTGCTGTTCTGAGTCACATTCTTGCTCTCCTTTGGCCAGTGGTTTTTCTGCCACCTCTTACATTTCATTCTCTGGTTCTGGAACCAGGTCTTCACCTGCTTATAGCTAAAGTTCAGAATGTTGGAAGGTTCCTGCATCTGCTGGAGACTGAGGTATTTCTGTCTCAAATAAATCATTGAGGACATAGAGTTGGGTCTGAGAGAACACGGTCCTGATCTTCTGTTTCTTGCCCTGGGCCGTATCTTCCTTCCTCACTGTTCTCTCCTCTCCAGAAGTGGGTGGTAGTTTTACCCTGGGACTGGTGGAGGAGTTGGGGCTGTCCTGAACAAGCAGATCAATGGAGGAAGGAAGAGGAGAGATGGTCTGCTTGGGGTGTCTAAACAGATGACATTTTATATGGATGCATAATTTTCTTCAGGCCCATAAATCTCAGGCACTGGAGAAGAGTCCCTAGAACTGGGTGCTTCAGGGCCAGGCAGGCATTAGGGCAGAGCTGGATCCTTGCGAATTCTCGGTTTATCCTGTCTCTCCTTCTTTATTTATTAGCAGGAGCTCTTTCTAAACTGACACTTCCTCTCCCCGATGATTTGGCTACCCTGAGATACAGTTCACAGGGGTCTCATGCAATGTAGGCAGGATAAATCCTTGTTTCTTTTTCCAGATAATGAGTTGGTTCCATTGTAGTCTCAAAAGGTGATCAATGAAGTGTTCTTGGTTGGTTTGTTTGTTTTCAATATCAATATGAACTCATGGATCTAAACTTCCTTGATGTGTTTCAATTCTTTGCAGGAATCCTATCCTTAGTTTGGCCAGCAGGAGCCTCTTCAAGTTGGCTTCTGAGTTCTTTTGATATGACCCCTGTTGTCTTTGATAGCGTCCTTGCTTTTTGTTGACCAGTTCCAGATTCATCTTGCACATCTGCCACTGAGCAGAAATCAGCCCCTTCTCTGGGAAGACCTCAGAGAAATGGTATTTAGAGATCACAGTCTGAGCACTTGGCTGCTCATTACTGTTGGTTGTTTCTAGATTTTGTCCCTGGGCAAAGCTAGAAAATATGCATTATTTTTTAAAGGTTAAAGTGCATTATGAATTCATACTGATAATTCCATTTAAATATAGGACTTATCCATCTTTCATTGCTTATCAATGACACCAACATAATTACTTACTTTTTTTTATCCCCTACCACATAGACAACAGTCTTGGAATAACAATATCAATGTGAACACTAACTGTGTGATTATGGAAAACTGTTTTGCAATTTTTTAAAAAATGCAAATTAAAAGCACTATCACAGTTAGCTAGTTGACTTGGTTATCTTAACATAGCCTTATTATTAGTGTTTGCTGTATATTTTAAGACTGCTTCCCTATTTTCCAGAACATCAAATTGGCAGATATCTTGACTGAATTAAATTAATCAATTTACTGAAAGAATCAATCACACTGTGAATTCATTGAATTGACACAGCAAACTTAATTGACAAGTTTTGTGTAGATGACAGTCCTAATGGACTGGCATTTTCTTGGTTTTTTATTATCTAAATGGTTTCATTTTGTTTATTAACATTTAATATTAATTCTGTCCTTTATACCCACTCTCTTTTCAATATCTTAAAGCAACAACAACAAAAAACTACTTAGTGGGCAAGAATTTCTATTTATATGTGTCATGATTTTTTATTTTGGATGAATATGCTATGAAACAAAGAATTCCTTTTTAAGAATAGAAAAATTGACACTTTCTAATTTATAAGTTTTAGTAATATTGTTTTTTCTATAATTTACCAGGGATTGCAGTAGGAAAAAAAATGATATTTTTTGAAGCATTTATTGCTAGATTTATGGGTATGAGATTTATGATCAAGAAAATTATGTAATTAAGGGAAACTGAGGCAATGGCCACTAAAATAAAAACTGATTTGTATGTAGAATATTTAATGATACGCCTTTCCCCCCCTTCCAGGTTCAAAAATAAATCATGACTGAATCTGCCTCTAGTGCAAGTGGTCAAGAGTTTGATGTATTCAGTGTTATGGACTGGAAAGATGGAGTAGGCACATTACCAGGAAGTGACTTAAAGGTAAGCTGTCTTTATTAAATACAGTTATCTGTGTGTGTTTATTAAAATAAATTTGACTAAATATGTGAAAGAAGAATTAAAAGCATTAAGCATAACCCTCTAGGCTTCATATGATGCCCAGATCTCTACAGTAAATTTTCAAGACAATTTGAAATGCTGACGACTTGGCAGAAGTCTTTGTCACTTGGGGTGGTGGATGGGAATATTTTGGCAATATGTTCTTATTTTGCAGAAATTGCATTGTAGCTTCCAGAGGATCATCCCAGGTTTGACTTTATCATGATGGACAATAAATATGGAAATGGTAGGCTTAGAAGACCTAGCTTCCTATGTTTTGTAGTTATGAACTTTATAACTTTAAATGAATAACCACATTCCCTGTGCCCTAGTTTTCTCTTTTAAGAACTGGATAATGTTAAAATATTGAATAGACAGGGCTATTCTCCTCCCTTAAATTATTTATACTATAAATATGGATTTTTATATAATCACTTGTTCAAAAGCTGGTCCTTCCTGTAAACCAGGTTGCTTTTATGTAGATGAGAACTCTCTTCAGAGAGTGATGCTTGAGTCTGCTCCTTTTCTTAATCCTCCCTAAACCCACGGCAGGACCACCTCTGCTGCCCTATGAAACATAGTTATGCAAGTGCTCATCCGGGAAGCCAGTCACCCCCACCTCTCATTTCTAATGTGTTTTTGCTCTAATCCTGTCTCTGGGACCTTGAACCTGTCTGTGGCCTTTTAGACTTTGTGTTTGTATGTGGTTACTCAGGTGTTTGAACTTCTCATCACCCTAACTGGCTGTCACTTGGCTTTCCTCTGTAGTGCTTGGTGTTGTGGTCTATCTTGAAGAGAAGTTCCTGCCCCCTAATAGTGGCTTCCTGAAATCCAGTACCTTTTAGTGGCTACTTGACAAGTATCTCAGCCAAGCCCATTCTAGTTCATCCTCAGTGGTGAGATCTGGACAATCTGTCATTGGAAGAATACTTAGATTTCAGTTGCGTTAGGTTGAGTTAAGTGCAGTGTGCCAACGTATCTATCTATCTGAGTTTAGCTTAACAAAAATACTGCAGTGAGGTTCAGTGAAATCTGGAAAGGAGATATGGTTTTTAGTTTCAGTTCTCTGTGACCTTGAACAAGTCAGTTAGTCTCTTTGGGCCAGTTTCCTTTTTGGTGAAATGAGGAATTAAATGAATACTCAGGATTTTATCTGCTCTAAGATTCTCCAAATGTTCATCTGGATTAGATATGATGGGAATCGAGTGCTGAAATTTGTGAGAAAGAAAAATTGTTCCAGACACTTATAATGTCAGCCTCATAGTAGCTACATGAGCTTTGTCAAGTTATTTAAATTTCCTAAGTTTCAGAATCTTTATCTATAAAGTGAGGAAATAGGATCTATGTCACAAGGTGGTTATAAGGATTGAAAAAATAACATATGGAAAACACTTAACAAATTATATCTTTTCTGGCTTTGTGATATATTATGTAAGCTGCCTTTTTTTTTATTGCTCTATTCTTGTATTTTCCTTGTACATTTTTGTCCTTTCTCAACTGTGTTATTTTGATGTCAGGTAGATGATGAAATTTATAACTTTTGTGCAGTTAGATTTTGAACTTTCCATCCCTAAGAAGTTTCCATCCCTAAGAAATTTAAATTGCCTGAAGGTCTTCTAAGCAATGGATTTTAGGAATTAACCTATTACTTTTATTAAGGTAATCAGGTAATTAAGCCACTTAGTGGGTATTATAATCTGGTTTATTTTATTTGACTTTTAGGGTCATCTAATTACCTAGGTAATTGCCATGTATCCAGTTCACTATATGTACTGTAGACAGTTTGAAACCCCACTTCTAAAAAAAATAATTTAAAAAATTTTTTTCTACTTTATAACCATTTTTACCTGAAGAGATCGAAGAACAAGCCAGTTGATTATGTTACTTAGGATTTCTGAATCACTTGCTTCTGATATTAATGTCTGAGTTGTTTAAGAGGCCTGATTGAGAAATTGATTTTTCACAAAAATAAGATATTAAAAAGAACTTTGAATAAAGCATGAGATTTACTCTCTGACATCGTGCTTTGTCTGTCTTAGATTACTGAAGCTTCTGTTTTTTAATGGGTATAGGTACGTGGATTTCCTCATAAACAGGGTGCTCTCCTAAGACAGCTCAGATTAGTGTAGCCCATGTCATCAGCTAATACACAGAAGTCAATTTCTTATCATGGGAACAGGTTTTTATATGCTTCAGTTTACTGCCATTTTGAAAGAACGTTTCTCTGTAAAACGTTGCTGGCCTATCAAGTTATGTCACTCTTCTGCTTAAAATCCTTTAGCAGTTTCCTGTCTTTCATGGCAGAGTTCATCACAGAAGTTTTTGGTGATCTGGCCTCTACTTCCCTCCAGCTACATCTCTTTTCACTCTTCTGTGCCGTCTTGTTTCCTTTCCAGCCCAACTAGCTACTTGAAGGCTTCAAACCTTGGTCTGTTTATGCTGTTTCCTGTTGCTGGAATATCCTTGCCCTGCTTCATCCTGGACTAACCAACCTTTATATAAAATGGAGCGCAGAAACTTTTCATTTGGGTGCAGCAGTGGAAAAAATAGCTTACTCTCTGATGAGCACTTTATCTGCATCTTTTTATTTAATCCTTTCCTTTAACAGTGACAGTTCCTGTCACTGTTGTCAGTTTACAGATGGGAAGACAGAGGCCCAGAATGGTCAAAGCATTTGCTCAAGGTCAAGATATTGGCAGAACTGCGTCTAAAGCCGGGCTTTTCTGATACTGAAATCGATTCTCTTAATACTACTATACTACCGTCTAAAGGGAGAAATGTTTTCATAACAAAAGAGATACAGGGAAAATGTTAGAGCAATTTAGAGGAGGTATTATTTTAGCTGGAGGGATCAGGAGGGCTTTGGGAAGTAGTTGTCACATGGGCTTCAGGTGTCTGAAAACAGGTCGGCATCGATGTGAAGACTTCCGCCGGCAGGCATGGTATGCAAGAAAGAGAAGGACTAGCCTAAGAAAGTGTAGTGTTAGGGGAGAACGGCAAGTGTCCACTGGCCCTCTTGGAAATATTGTGGTCATCCACAAGACGTTTTGGCCTAAACAAGCTTTGGAAACTGTACCACTGCCTAATTATTCTGTAAAATGGTGAATTAATATTTGTAGATTAATTTCTCAGGACCAGCCATACAAACAGGCAGGTATTAAGTGGTATTGGGAACGTGCATGGCAGGGCTCCCTGTCCCTAAGCAGTTTCTCTCTCTGAACTTCTAATTGGTGTCTGAAATTTATCCACAGAGAATTATTCCTCTGGGTCATAAGGATTTAGCTGTTTGAAATCCTTTAGTAAAATGCAGATACACTCCTGGGAGTGATAGCATCTTATCTAGTAAGAATAGTTGCCACTTAACTGAGAGCAAGACCCTGCAGCAGCAATGCAGAAACCCAACCGGGAAATTCACTGCGCTTAGTGCACGGTTTTGCCTTGTTGTGATTCATGTTCAGAAACGTGTAGTTACCAAAATCTTTGCTCTTAAAAACAGATTGGTAAGTAGAACTCACATTTCAACATGGAAAGTAATAAAAATAGTAACCTCGGCAGCATCTTTTAATGATCTATTATTAAAAACGGGCAAAAATCAGCAAAGGATCCTTTGCCTCTACAAGAAAAAATAAAGAAGAGAATTGAATCAATTAAAGGTAGTTCAAGCTAAGCTAAACAAACCAACCTTTGCAACCCCTTGTATATTTCAGGCATAATTGTTTTCTGACTGACCTAGATGTATCCACTAGCAGAACAAATTACAATGTCAGCTGATGTGTTTGATGTGCTTAATAAATTTCTTCTGTAAAGTTTATAATTTTGATGTTCTTGATTATGGAATGGAGCCACTCAATAAATTTTTATGCTGCTTTTTAGATGTCTAAGTTAAAAGAACTAATAACTTTGAAAAAAGAAATAAGAGGGATTATTTCAAGTTTCCATGGCTCTAAAAGCATTCATAAAAACATTCCCCATTTCAGAACCTGAGGGTTTTATTGGGGGGAAAAATGTTAGGGAATGTGTCAGTCTTTCTGGAATTCCATCTGTGGAACTCCAGTAATGCTGGCAGCACCTAACAGCCTATGTGGTCCAGCATTTTCTACAATAGCAACATTGTGAAAGACAGTAAATCCAAATTGAGAAGCCAGGAAAAAAAAAATTAATCCCTCTGTCTTTTTGCATATGGTAGGGTACTTTGAAAACACTTGGAGGTTAATTTTTGAGATAAAGTAACTTTGGTTAGATATTTTTTACTTTTTCAGGGTTACAGGATGCCTTTGGGAATATGATGAAACTTATGAACCCGATCCCCAGAAAAATATATATGTGCTCTTGACATAATTTTGCATGTATTTCATGGGATTCATCAATCCCCTGAAGTCCAGCTATGGATCCCTGGCTTACAGGAGTTAATTGTGTCCCTGAGTGTCGTGACATCTTTACTTTGTATTTTGGCTGTAGGTCAGTTACTGGCAATAAGTATTAGAAGGAAAAGATAACTGGGATTAATTGTTGTATTGTGAGAATATTATCTTTTAACTTTGAGAGTAGTTGAGCCTTAAGCTTTCCAGGTGTCATAACTCTGAATTTTTATTTAAAGATTCCACTCAGTGGTGTTCTCTTTCTCAGTGTTGGAGATGCAGGGTGCCTCCCAGCTTAGAAGCAATTTGGAAACTTAATACCACAGGAGACTCTCAGTGTAATGCAAATAGTGCTGTTTCTCACATTTTGTAGTTTTCAAATAGGTATAAGTTAACATCAGCATGTAATGAAAGTAAAATTACTTACCTGAACTGAATGACAAAGCTCATGCCTATTGTTTTGTTAAACTTTCATGCAGGTTTGATTTTTTGTCTTACTCTTTAATATCATTAATTAGTAACATTATGGCTTGTTTTTTCTACTCTTGCCCAGTAGATGGTACTGTCAGCTTTATTTTGAAATATTCCCTTTTAAGAGTAGATCATTTAAAATGTTTTTTTCCCAAAAGTAATTTTTAGCTCTTTTCCTCTCAATTACCTTTTTTGCCACTTCCTAGACAGTTATTTTTAGGTGAGCACACTAGGTATAGTAAACACATGTTAGCTGGGAACTTCTATCTGAAATACGTAGTAGAAAACATTTTCACTTTTATTAACAATTTCAGCTTTGTCAGCCTAAAAAGCTTTTGATCACTGTAGAGTACACGCATAAAATTTTATAAGGTGCCATGTTCTCCTGGTGGAAAGAATAGTAATTTTTGCTTCAGCTTTTTCTGAATGTAGTCTGAATGATTAAATGAATCCTCCTATTGGCATGTGGACTAAATAGATGTTTTAGATTGGGGAATGGAAGGTCTTAAGTTTCACTACTACATATTGGCATGCTCATCCACATTTCTGTGAAAGATTTAAAAACTTTAAGAAAAAAGTTTTATAATTTTTAGAATCGTGAGCTTTCCAGTTTTTCACCGGCTGTCAAAATTAGTGGACCCTTGATGTCATTTTATTTTATGGAAAAACAGAGGACTATGGAAAACTTTGAGCTTCATTAATAGGAGAGAAAACCTCGTTGTTTCAAAGGGGATTGGGGGGGCTCCCTGCACGTAGATAGTAGTTAAGCCTTCAACACATGCACAGTACAACCAGGGTATTGCAGAAACATACTTGATTTGAAGCTTGCCATGAGATGAGAGGAAATTTTCGATATTTGGAATCAAAATGTCCATGAAATCAAAATGCCTATAATTTTTAGTGATAGCATTGGCCAGTAGCTAGTAGATTTGTTCAGATCTCCATAGACTTTACCAGTTGTTTTGGAGGACTCCGGATGAATAGGATGGAGAATTCCAAAAAGCAGTGAAAGAAAGAAGTATGGAGCTGGGGCTCGCATGATCACACATCGGTCTTCCTCGTCTACACCTTGGAAATATAAGGGGATGCGAGTGCAGGTCATTATATTTCTGGAAGAGATATTTCTTTCTCTTGGCCTCACTGAACTTGGGTGAGACAAGTTGATTCCAGGGAAAACAGTCATTCTTCTTTTACTAATTTTGATTACTAAGTAAGTAGTAATACGAAATAAGGGGGGAAAAAAGTCCTAGCAAAAACTGGTGTTTGAACTTGTAGAGCACATGGAGTGAGCAGTCACTTCTACTGGCACAGCGTAGAGTTGGTTGGTTACCGTACTCGAAGAAGTACCTTGCTGCTTTGTTCTGTTTTCCCTTCCCTGAATCCCCAAATTAGTAAAATGCAAAGGACTTAATATTAGTAGAGGACTTATCTAGATATATTTGCTGAAATGAACTTTCAAAGCATAATTACTTTGCTTAAAGACTATATGTGTCAGCCACGAAACATTTACCATTTTGAGCGGTTTTGTAAATGTTGCCTCTTTCTACCATGTTGTCCCTAGTTTCGGGTGAACGAGTTTGGAGCCCTGGAAGTTATCACAGATGAGAGTGAGGTGGAAAACGTGAAAAAAGCAACAGCTACCACAACTTGGATGGTACCAACTGCTCAAGAAGGTAAGAATGGGTCGTCTGCAGGGCCTTTCTTTTGAGAGTTTTAAAATAAGACTATCTGGTTTATAATAGGCTGGAACTTTGAAAATTCTGGGTGATTTTCATGTCACATGTTCTTAAGTAAATTTCTATAACAAAACTCATATGGAACCAACTTTTATATTTTAAAATAACTATAAACTGTCTTCTTTCCTAATGCCAGATCTGTAATAGGACAAGGTTAATTGGAAATTATCAAGTAAATCCAGTGTTGTAATAGCCTACCCAGGTGATTTAGCCAAAAGCCTGCCACTTTTTTCTCATCTACTCCGATGGTTGTAACTAACACCTATATGCTGATGACTCCTAAATCTATATCTCCAGCCCCGACCTCTCCCCCGAGCTCCAGGCCCGTATTTCCACCTGCCTACTGGACATCTCCACCTGGATGTCCCACAGGTACCTCAAACTCCACATGTCTGAAATGCGATTCATTTTCTATTTCTTTCTCCCCTTCCCCCAAACCTGCTCTTTCTTCTATAATCCATATTTCAATTGGTGGTAGCACCATCCACCCCGTGGACAAGTAAGAAATCTAGGAGTCATCCTGAATTTGTCCTCCCCCAGTCCCATGGCCTGTTACTCAACCCTCTTGGTTTTTATTTCCTAAATACGTCTCAGATCTGGCTTTTTCTACTAATGATCACTGCCACTGCCTCAGTGTAGGCCCTTATCAGCTCTCACCTGAACTGTTGCAGACTCCACCTTGAGAATCACTCTGCTGCTAATTTCACCTAATTGATCCCACACCTTGAAGTCAGAGAAACTTTTGTAGATCGCTTATCTGACACTTCACTGATTTCTTATTGTCTCTGTAGCCAAACATACAAGATGTGGGTGGCACCACCCACCGGCTTGCTGTGTCTTTGCTCTCTGTTCTGTTCTGTTCTGTCTGTACATGGTGTCCTGGTAGTGCCGGCAGCACTGAATTCCATGTCGTTCTCCCAGCACATCATGTGGTATTGTGCCCCCTTGCCTCTGCCCCTGCTCTTTCTTCTGGCCGGGATGCCAGTTCTCTCTTTGTCCAGTTGGTAAATGCCTCTGGGCCTTCAAAACCCAGTTGAGGCTTTATATCAGACAATCCTTCCCTGACCTCAACCCAGGCTGAGTGAAACACTTCTTCTTCTGTACTCCTTCTGGAACTTGTTCATACTTTAATTGCATGTATCACATTTTATTATAAATATTGGTTTTCTTACCTGTCTTCTCTTCTAGACTGTGAGCTCTCTTGGGCAAGGTCTGTACTATCATTATCAGTGTCTAGCGTAAATTGGTGCCTAATAAATGTTTGCTGAATGAATGATTAGCCTAACAAATTCAGGCAAAAGGAAGCGTGAGTTCCTAAATGATTTGGATCATTATGATTTAGGAGATCTTTTACATGAGAAGTTGCATAGGTGGTGATTTAACCAATTTAGTAGAACAAAGCCACTCATCAAAAGGTAAACAACATAGATAACCCTTTTTAAATTGTGTCAGAGATACATCTATAAAATAGGATTCTGTAGGTTGACAGTTTCATCTTCTGAGTTTAGTCATGAAATTTTCTTTATTTTACTTTGAACTCTGTAGAAAAAGCCTTGGATAAACTTTTATCTTTTCTGCAGAATATTTTTTGTTGGGTAAATGATTTGAACGATTCCTGCCAAGTCCATTCTTTCCCCCCTCCCACGAACTATAGATTGGTCATTCATTCATTCAACAAACATTATTCTTTTATTGTGTCGCTAACAAAATTATTAGAGGAAAAGTGTAAATGTATTTTGGAATGTTTTCTGTCAGGGCTTTCACTGTTTTTGTTTTTGTTTTTTCCTCCTTTTCATCCTCTAGTCTTTTCAGAGAAAACTGGGATGCCTTTCAGGTTGAAGGATCCAGTGAAAGTAGAAGGGCTTCAGTTATGTGAGAACTGTTGTCAGTACGGCAATGTAGATGAGTGTCTTTCTGGAGGAAACTACTGCAGCCAGAATTGTGCCCGGCATAGCAAAGACAAGTAGGTTTTTGCCCTGTTCCATCTGTAAAATGGGTTTTAGCGTCCAACGTCATGGTGCTTGGGAATACAGAGGCGCTCTGGCATCTGTCCCCCACTCATGCCCTTTTTTTCCCCCAGAGACTTTTCCTTTAGAGACGTGTGGACGCTGACCCCATTACTTCCATCATGTCTGGTCTGAGTTGTACTGCATAAGTCCTCTCTGTAAGGGCGGCCTCTTTCTCTTCAGCCTTTTGATGACCTCATGTGCTCCCTAGCTGAGAGTATTTCACTTTCTCTGGACTGCATACATTTTGATGATGCTGATGTTTACGGAAAAGCGGTTTTGTTTATACATGGGGGGGGTTCTTAGGTAACTCACCTACAACTCCACCAATGAAACTGAGCCGCCACAAATTGGGGACCAACTGAATGAAGATGGCTGTAGAGAGTTGTGTAATGAGGTGCCCGACCACAGACCTCAGTGCAGACTGAGGTTTAGGAGACAGAGGTGTGCTCTGTGGCTGACAGTGTTCTGGGACCTGGCCATCTGGGGACTGTCTGACAAGTTCAGCTAATCACCAGGGTGCATTTTTGCATATAATTGTGTACCACAAAGCAGTGACTTGACCCTTACATTTTTGTGGCATTTCCCATGTATTTTCACCAGCATAGGCCTGGGAATTGTCTGTTTTTGTTGGCCAGCTTTTATTTTACAAAGTTACACTTGGCCTTTTTTCAGTTGCACTTGTCATTCTTAATAATTGCTAGATTCTTGCATTAAAATGGCCCTGAAGACTAAAACATCTCTAAATAATTGATTCTTTTATTAGTGTGGATGGCAGATGTGAAAGACAGATCATTTTAAACTTGTTAGAGCCTGTTTCACATACAGCACTGATCCCCTTTTGAAATTAATATATAAGCTAATTTCCATTTTCTACCCTGAGCTGTTACACATGACAGTGGTTCCAAGTGTTCCTTAGCTATGAAATTCTGATGCCTACACTATTCTCCTGGTGGTTAATGTTTTTCCTTTGGAGGATGATTTTTTTTTTTTAAGTTGCATGATAATCAACATGTAGATGTTTGATAGGTATTGTTTCCTGTCACTATTTTGGGTTTATAAACACAACAGAGATCAGAAGGAAGAAAGGGACATAGGAGAAGACAACGAGGAAGAAGATCCTAAGTGTAGTCGGAAGAAGAAACCGAAATTATCTCTGAAAGCTGACTCCAAGGAGGATGGAGAAGAGAGAGATGACGAGATGGTTAGTATCTCCTGTGCACCTACCAAGGAGCACAGTGGGTGCTTCTTAGGAGAGCAGCACCCCAGTCAGAGGCACTGACTTCCATTGGTGGTTCCATGACTCTCTGTGTGACTGTCGGCAAGTTACCTCCCGACCCTCTTCTGGGTGTCACTGTCCACCTTTCAAAATGGGAATAGGACTTCTCCCTCAGGCTGAAGAAGTAGGATGTGCTGAAGTTTATTACCGATGAGAGAGGCCACAGCAAAATCTTCAGTCCCTCTCGATAGCAAAAATGTCAATCCCATTTTGGTAAATTGCAGAGCTCATAAAACTATGCAAGTAGATAGAAAATGGCAGACAAATGTCAGGTATATTTAGGGGAACCTAATTCAGAATGTGCTAATTAAAACATAAATATCTTATCTCTCAAGTATATATTAGTGATCCTGTATGAAAAGAGAACTTTGAGGTCTTGAAGACTTTCCCTTCAGATCAGTGTTGAGCCCCCAATTATTTGCTGGTCTCTCTCCTAGAAGCTGGGAAGACAGGGATGTGCGGCAGCAGGACAACAGGATCTCTTCTCAGGGACACCACGTTCTTTTAAGGGGACATCTAATAAATGGGAGATACGGCAGCCTGTGATAAGTGCCATGGAGAATAAAGGAGGGCATGAGGATTGGTTGACTCCTTTAAACTGGGTTGTCAGGGAGGCCTCCCAGAGGAGGGGGCATGAACAGTGTGATCTGGGTGATAAGAGGGAGCCAGCTTTGTAAAAGAAGGACTGAGGAGGCCCCCGGGGCAATGGAATGGCTGGGGAAGAGCCCCTTAAGGCAAGAACCTGTGTGACACGTTTTGTTTGAGGATATAAAGACCGTTTAGTTGAGCCTTACGGGTTAAGGGGGAATGGAATAAGATGAAGTTCAAGAGGTCCAGGCCGTGTAAGGCTTCATGAGAAACCAGACTAGTGGGGTTTCATTCTGTTTTGTGTGTGGTGGGAAGCCACTGGAAGGTTGAAGGCAAGGAAATACGGTGATATGATTGTTGTTTTAAAGCAATGGCTCTAGCGTTGGTATGTGCGACCGAGAATGAAATCAGGGAAACCAACAGTTTATTGCAGTAGGCTCATTAAGAGGGCTACGGAGGATAGAAGTCACTGGATTTAGGGTAGATGTTGGAGGCAGGATCATCACGGTGTGTGAGGGAGAGAGAAGAATCAGGAATAACTCAGGTTTTGGCTTGAACAGTTCACTGGATAATGACGCCATTTATTGAGTTTGGGGAGGCAAGACTGGAGGTCAGAATCTGGAGTCCTTTGGCATGGTGAGTTTGAGATGCTCATTAGGTGTCCAAGTGGAGCTCCCAGGTGGGCGGTTGGATACATGAGTGTGGCGTCAGGGAAGAGGTTAGGGGATACAGACGGGATATTTGGCAGAGAGACGATATTTAAAACCCAGGGTGAGGGGTTCAATAGGGAAGAGAAAGGAAGTGGGTTAGAGGAGATCCGAGCAAAGGGACTGAGAAAGAGCGGCCAGTGGGGTGTGAGGAAAATCCGAACACAGTGGTCAAGGAGCTATAAGAAGCAAGTGCTCCAAGAAGGCAGGAGCAGTATCTGTGCTGGTGCAGAGTGTGATTCTTGGAAACGTTCTTATTTTGTAATCACCTCAGGCCAAAAGCAACACAGTTCTCAAATGACCTATATTCTTTCTTTCTTTAAAAGTTACGAAGTGAAATTGAAGAAACGTACAAAAAATAATAATGCTTTCTGACAGCTAACTTTTCATTGGTGCCAGTTTCATGCGCTTTTGAAATCATTAATTGTCCTTTCTTGCTGTAGGAGAACAAACAAGATGGAAGAATCCTGAGGGGTTCACAGAGAGCCCGAAGGAAAAGACGAGGTGATTCGGCTGTATTGAAGCAGGGTAAGTTGATGAAAGAAAGGTTTTACTTGTGGCTTTATGAAGTGGAAAACATTTCACACAGGTAGACATCTTAGTCTTAATTGTAATGTACACTAGGGCAGTGAAGATACTGTGTTGGGTTTTTCTTTGATTAAATTTTGTCAATAAAAATCAGCATTTTGAAGAAGTAGATAAGGAAAAAAATGGAAATTCAAACTTTTGAGTAGTGTCCATGCAAACATGAAAACATCTTCCTATATTTTTCCATCAAATAGGTTTTTTTTTCCTATTTTTGCACATGGACTAAAACCTTTGTTCTTGTTCATTTCCTAAGACTTTTAAGTTTTTAATGTTTCCCCTCAAACCACAACCTCCTGATGGGGAACCTTTTTTGTTTCTGTCATTGCTCCTTAGGCAACACTTTATTTTCGTGATGAATCCAGTGCTCAGACCCTTTCCTTTTATAATTGACTGGACGACCTTACCTCCTCATTCAGCATGGCCCTGAGCTCATTTCCATTGAGGCCTCAGTGTCCTCCAGTAGGTTTTGTTTCGCCTTTTTGACCCATCCCATCTGCCTGCCAGCCCTTCGTGTTAGATCTCTCCACTGAGGGCAGCCCCACCGCCGACTTGGCCGTTCATGTTGTCCCTGCTAACTGGGGCCAGGAAGCCAGTGTGCCTCCTCGCTGCGTGGACGCACTCCTCGGTCGTTCATCTCTCAGTTCCTCCAAGACAGCTTCAACTATTTCTGCCTGCCTCAGGCACACAGCCTAACTATTCTTGGGGGAGATGACCTTCTGTTTTACATCACTGAGCTGAGAGGGGGTAAATTTTTCACGCTGGTCTCTGCCTCACAAATGTTTTAACCTTTCTCTCCCTTCCATTTTTCTGTCTTCAGGGCCCTGGCTCTTCTGGGACCTTGTTCTCCAGTCATTTATTTTTTTCTCCCTTCGGTATTCAACATTTCTTTTTTCTGTTCATGGGCTCCATCTTAGCCTGCTCAAATCTCATTCCCCAAATACCTTTCGCTACCCATCAAGGTATTATGCTCTTCCTTTCATTTCTATTGTTTGTTGAGTTATTCCAAAATAAAATTGATATTGGCTGGCTGCATGTCTTTATCACTTATAGTTCTTTTGCAGCTCAAAATCTGGCCCTTGCTAAATTGGCCACCCCCTCCCCTCCCAGATCAGCAGCCATTCCCTCAGCACTCAGTACACTGGCTTCTTCTTAGTCCTTAGCTTCTTGATCTCAGGAAACATTTTTTGATCATCTTGTTTTCATGATACTCTTCTATCTTGGTTTCCTGTGTTGTCTCCTTCATTTATTCTAAATTCTTCTGCTGTTTCTTCTACCATCATAACTGGTCATACACCACAGTTTACTCCTTAGCTTTTGCTTTTTTGGAAGAGGGGCCAGGAGGAGACTGGGAACTGCCAGCCATGGAAGTAAAAGAAGGGCCCAGCATAGTAGTGGTTCGGGTAGTGAGACTTCACAAGATACACCTCTGACTTCTTAGATTTGGGAACTCTAGCCTATTAGTCTCACTTGCTTTTCAGGTTTGCCTCCTAAAGGAAAGAAAGCCTGGTGCTGGGCATCCTATCTGGAGGAGGAAAAAGCTGTGGCAGTGCCCGCAAAGCTCTTCAAGGAGGTACGGACTCTTCTAGAAAACACTGTCTGCATTGTCTGTACGGGCCTTGTCTACAAGGGCGAAAGCTCTGGAATTCTGATCTGGAATTAGCGTTGTTTGTTTAGGAAATGTGACTTGGGGTAATTTCTCAAGCATATTGTTTTTCATGAGTGTATTTATGTGGTGGGGTAAGTGCAAGGGCAACTAACATTAATATATGCTGACCACCCCCCGGTGCCACATGCACAGGCACATGTTGAGATACACATGCTCTTTCTCTCGACCTTTACTGGGCTTTCACTTAGTAATTTTAAGAGGAATACCTCTACTACTGCCGAAAAGCTCGTAGATAAAGAAAACCTGGCATGAAATTTCACGTCAACATTACGGTTTTGGGAGAAATGAAAATGAGTTAGAGATTTATATAATATCACAACAAAAATCTAAAAGCAGGTTATTGTATTTTATTAACTGTAATAAAAACATTTTGTCTTAAGTGACTTAAGCTCAGAAGCATAGATACCAAGTGTGGTTCTGAGTGGGAGCTGCCACCCCCGGGCTAAACCTGGGGTCAGGAAGCTTTTTCTGTAAAAGGGCCAGATGGTCTGTGTTTTAGACTTTGTGGGGCATCTGGTCTCAGTGGCAGCAGCTCAGTTCTGTTGTTGTAATGAAAGCAGCCATAGACAATATATAAAGGAAGGGCTATGGCCATGTTCTTGTAAAACTTTATTTATAAAAACAGGTCGTGGGCTGTATTTGACCCATAGAGTGTAGTCCGCTGAACCTTTTTTTAAATTATTTATTATATTTAATCATGGCGTGTAATAAATCCTCCATTGATACCTTGTTAGAGATGCATTCACATAGGCAGTTTTAAAAAGTGATGAATAGTAAATGTTATGATTACATCTACATTAGGAATATTTAATTTATACGTAATTGTAATTACATATGAACGTGTTCTATATGATTATTTTCTGTAACTGTGATTCTTTGTAGAATAGACTTTTTTACATTAAAAAAAGTTTAAATATACCTAATTACTTGAATCAGTAAAACAGTCATGTAATTCACACTGTAAAAGTACTAGAAGAGGGCGCCTGGGTGGCTCAGTTGGTTAAGCGACTGCCTTCGGCTCAGGTCATGATCCTGGAGTCCCGGGATCGAGTCCCACATCGGGCTCCCTGCTCGGCAGGGAGTCTGCTTCTCCCTCTGACCCTCTTCCCTCTCATGCTCTCTCTCTCTCTCTCATTCTCTCTCTCAAATAAATAAATAAATAAAATCTTTAAAAAAAAAATAAAACAACAGAAAGAACCAATTCTTTAATTAAAAAAAAAAAAAAAAGTACTAGAAGAACGTGAAGTATGTCCCGCAGAGCCCTGCTCTCTAGGTCCCAGATTTGCCTCTCCCAGTAACAAGTGATTACTGTTACCAGTTCTTCCAGCCCCTTCCTAGAAAATTGTATGTGCAGATAAGCAGTAGATATTCACAGAGCCTGTCCTCCCCATCCTCAGCCAAATGGTAACATGTCACACACACGGTTTTAGACTTTGCTTTTTTTTTTTTTTTAACTTAGTTTGGAAAGGAGTCCATCTCAGTTCATGATTCCTTTCATCATTCTTTTATATTCATAATACGACATCTTATGTCTGTTCCATAACAAGTTAAGCTGCACCCTATTGGTTGACACATATATGTTAATATATGACACATAGATGACAACCACACATAAGTGTTTTGGTGAATGACCTTGTATACCTGTCATTTTGCACATAATGTGGGTATCTCTGTTGGATAATTTCCCAGAATTAGAATTCCTGAGACACACCGAATGTCCTGTTTGCAAGATACTGGGAGGTGGCTAGAGGTTGTGCCAGTTTTGACCCCTGCTAGATATATGTCTGTGCCTGTCCTCCCAGAGCCTTGCCCTCACTGTGTTACCAGACTTTTTGATCTTGACAAATCTGATTAGGGGAAATATGTTTTAGTGTAATTTTACTTTGTATGACTCTCATGGGTGAGGTTGAACATCTTTTCAGATATGTAAAACTTTTCCCTTTCTGTGACCTGTTTATAGTCTTTGTTCATTTATCGTTGGCTTATTTGGTGGTCCTTTTCTTTTGGATTTTTAAGAATTATTTATGTATTTGTTAGTCTTTATTTAATGGTAATTATTCACATTTTAATTGGACGTTCAGGATAAAATACTAAAACTGCTGTCATTTTGCATTTTAGTATCAGTCCTTTCCATATAACAAAAATGGGTTTAAAGTTGGCATGAAGTTAGAAGGTGTGGACCCTGAGCATCAGTCTGTGTACTGTGTCCTCACTGTGGCTGAGGTAAGCCTTGCCTTGTCTTTATTTTTGCAATACAGTGGTGATTCTGGGGTTTTAATAATAGGAAAAGGTGCCATTTGTTGCGTGCTTATTTCATGCCAGGCATTGTGCTTACTGTTTTGTGTATTAACTCACTGAATCTCTGCAAGAATCCTATGCAGGTCATGTTTTTTTATTCCTGTCCTGTAGGTAAAGGAACTGAGGCTCAGAGAGATTAAATGATGTACGCAAGGCCACACAGCTTCAAAGTGATAGAACCGGGGCTTGACCCCAGGTCCATCTGACTCCATAGCTTTGGTCATACTGTGGTTCCTTCACATAGGAAACAGAACAACAGGGGCGCCTGGGTGGCTCAGTCAGTTAAGTGTCTGCCTTCGGCTCAGGTCATGATCCTGGAGTCCTGGGATGGAGCCCTGCATCAGACTCCCTGCTCAGCGGGGAGTCTGCTTCTACCTCTCCCTCCGAGCCTCCCCTCCCCAACTTGTTCTCTCTCCCTCTCAAATAATTAAATAAAATCTTAAAAAAAAAAAAGAAAAAGAACTAGACCAACAGATATTTGTGTATTTTTTAGTATTTCAAGGTACCTCTGTGAAATTTTTTAGGAAAAATTGTCCAAGTCTATTTATATATATGTCAGTCTAGTATATTACTGAGAGCATTTCTTAGAATTTATTTTTTCCTCCTGTGCAGAATTTACTTTTTTCCTCCTGTGCTAGCCTCCACCTTCCTCCCTCTCTTGAGCCAGGGGTATGTGTCTTTAAAAATTCTCCCAAAGGGGCACCTAGGTGGCTCAGTAGGTTGGGCATCCAACTTTTGAGCTCAGCTCAGGTCATGATCTCAGGGTCATGGGATTAAGCCTCGCATCACACTCAGTGTGGAGTTGGCTTGAGATTCTCTCCCTCTGCCCCTCCCCACACTCACACGCCCTCTGTCTCGAAAACAAAATAAATAAAGTCTTTAAAAATTCCCCCCAAAAGATGATCTCTTGTGTACTAGTTTTAGTTATCATAGTATTCTTTCAGTGAGTTCGTGAATTTGTAAGAAGCTTGGCTCCTGTGGAACACAGTAACATCTGATGGATGATGACAATTATGGTACATGATGATGATATACAGTTACACAGAGAGGACCATGGGACAGATGCTGAGCTTAGTGCCTGCCATATATTAGCTCATCTTAGTTCCCTAAATAATTGAGGAAGCATTGTGAAGGAGCAGATTCAGTAAGTGTAGACTGCTTTTGAGAAGTTTAGCTGTAAAAGGGATCTTTTTAAGGTGTGTGTGTTCCAACTCCTGGTTTTGAAGGAGATATATTTTAGTTTGTCTAGCTTTTTACTATAATAGTAATGTTTGCTCATCATGAAAACTTCAAATAGTATAGAATATACATTAAAATAGGGACGCCTGGGTGTCTCAGTTGGTTGAGTGTCTGCCTTCGGCTCAGCTCATGATCCCGGGGTCCTGGGATCGAGCCCCGTGTTGGGCTCCCTGCTCAGGGGGGAGTCTACTTCTCCCTCTCCCACTCCCCCTGCTTGTGTTCCCTCTCTCTCTCTCTCTCTCTCTCTCTCTCTCTCAAATAAATAAATAAAATATATTTTTAAAAAAAGAATATACATTATAAGAAATAAAAGTCCTCTATCACACTCCTTGCTTTTCCTTATTCCAGATCCCAGAGATAATGACCCTTACGCATTCACTGTATTCCATGCAGATGTTTTCTCTACTTGTAAAAATACATATACGTATATTTTTCTCTTTTTTACATGTAAATGGTATAATACATACTTTTTGGAGCTTGCTTTTATGACAGTGTGTTTTATATTTTATATACATATTATTTTTAAGCATTGGGTGGTGTTCATTTTACTAATTTGCTGTAATTCATTTAATTTCTCTCATATTGATGAACAAATGAGTGGTCTTCACTTTCTCATCATTCTCATTATTACAAACAGTGCCCTTGTGAGAGTGATTAAAATTTCAATTTTTGATGCATGCTGCTACTTGTTGCTCCAAAAAGATTTACCAGTTGTTACATTCTTACCAAGACTATGGGGTAATTTGTTTGCCTAAGCCTGAGAGATAGTCTTTATTTACTTTTCTTTTTGTTCCCTCCCCCTGCCTTTTTTTTTTAAATAATGGGAAGAGACTGGAGAATGAATTCTGAAAAAGCAGCTAGGGAGCAGAGGATTGGAGGGCTCAGAGAGAGCAGATAATTGATAAGGAGGGGCTAGGGGTAGATGAGATCCAGGGCGTATGAGGAGACCCAGCCTTAGCCAGGAGCAGGAATCTCTTCTTGGGTTCTAGCAGGGTGGAGGTGGAGGGGGTGGGTGTGCACAGGCATGGGCCTGTTTGCTAGTTTGGAGTCAGATGTTCGAGGCAGCTTCTTTACCACAGAAGGTAAATCACTGAGAGTGACGCTGGAGGTCGTGGGCATGGTAGCTGAAGGAGAGAGAGTAGGATTTGAAAAGGCTATTGTGAAGAAGGGGAGTGGGAACCGGACACGGCTATCTAGGGAGAGGGAGAGTCCACTCTACAGGTGCATTTGGTTCTCATTTGTGGAAGCTGAGTCCTATAAATAGCAAACCCTGGACCACTGCTTCTAGAGGAAGTACAGGATTAGGTTCCTCTGAGCTTCTGGTCACAACATTTCTGTCACCTGATCAATATTTAACCTTGTTTATGTGTATTTCTGTTCCATGACATCTTATTTAATATCTCCTGTTGATTCTTTAACACAGAACTCCTGGCCAGCAGCACTATAACTTATGCCTGCTGAAGCTTATCTAACACATGTCTTCTCCATGAGGTCCATGACAACCTTCCTGCACTTAGGGACACTAGCCAGTCCTTCAGCCCTGTGCTTGGGGGCCATTTTAAATAGCAAAATCGCCAACAGGAAGCACAAATGTGAAAAATGTAACAGTAAGCTGACTATGCAAAGGGCGTTTGGCTTACAGAATGAGATGGAAAACAAGGCAGAGAGAGCATTGCTTTCTTCAGCCTCATCTCGGAACTTGCACAATAGGCAGCTCACATTTTTCGCCGCTCTGTATGTGCATCTGTTCCCAAACACCATGAGTACTATTTTTGGATTACAAATAAATTTTATCATATAGGTGAATTTGCAGACAGGAAATTGTGAATAATGAGAATGAGTTGTATGTCTTTTTTCCGTTTTTTTCCCCCCCTCAGCAACAGTCCCTAGACCACGTATAGGTGCAGACTAGGTGAGTCGAGGGGATAATGGAATTTTGTCAGGCCTGTGTTTTAGGAAGGACATGAGGCCAACAATTAAAAAATGTTGGCAAGAAAATGTTTTCGGTGATTGCTAGGGAAGGAAGGCTCAGGGTGAGGGCAGATGCTAGGGGAAAAAGTAGAAGGATCAACTTCTGGGAGATACTAGACTTTTCAGTGAGATTGAGGAAGAAGTGTGTATAGGGAGTAATCGGGTTAGCAAACTGAATAGGAGGATGTCTTCATAGCACTGGATGTTTTAATTTAGTAGTTGAGAGGCAGTTTAATTCCTCGTGGGACAAGATTCAGGAGCGTAACTGAAGTGGAGAAGAAATGCAGGGAGCAAGGAGCCAGGGTCCTTTGACAGAATGAGTCATCTGTGCGCACGACGGAACTGCTCAGGAGAGAGAAAGGAAGAGAGGAAGCCAGAGCTTAGTGTCTGATGAGTGAGAAAGGATGTTTGGGAGGGTGGTGTGTGCGATGATAAGGACGAGTTGGTGATGCAGCCACATGACACAGGACTCACAGGAGCAGGACCTAGGCAGTAACCTCTCCTGAGCCTCAGAGGGATGGAAAGTGGGAGAAGGGGCAGTCTCCACTTGAGGGAAGGCTTGAGACGGGTGCATTACATATGCCTTTGGACAAGGAGTTTGATGATGTCAGAGAGTGTTTACCAAAGCCGAGGGTTCCCGAGAGCGTGAGACACGGTGGAGATTGCAGGGCCAGGTAGAGGCGGGGAGGTTGACTCAGGAGGTGCAGCTCAGAACAGTATGACCCCAAGGGACTAGAGGGAGAAGTCACAAAAGGGGCTTGTTTCTCAGGCATTGACCAGAGACAGTGGAGTATGAGGCAGAGTAGGCTTGCCTGGCTCTGAGACTGTGGAGAGAAGCAGCCACTGAGCTCCTTCTGGGGGTGAGGTTGATGTAGGGTGGGGGGCAGAGATTGTGCTTCGCAGGAACCCCCATCTTGGCTCTGCGGAGGGACTCTAGTCTCTCTGGAGGGAGTCAGCTCAGTTGTAAATCTGATATATGTAACATATCAAGACATTCTAATTGAAAAAATATTCATATAGAAGATGAAATATAAAAAGCCCATCCTTCCCTTTTGGCCTCTCCCTTCTCATTCCCACTTCTCAGAAGAAATCATTGTCGGGGCGCCTGGACCCAGGCTCAGTCGTTAAGCATCTGCCTTCAGCTCAGGTCATGATCCTGGGGTCCTGGGATCGAGCCCCACATCGGGCTCCCTGCTCCACAGGAAGCCTGCTTCTCCCTCTCCCTCTGCTTGTGATCCCTCTCTCGCTGTGTCTCTGTCTGTCAAATAAATAAAATCTTAAAAAAAAAAAAAGAAATCGTCCATATTTTGGCATATATTCCCAGACCTTTTTTTACTGTGAATTTACATTTATATGTGCATGTGTAAGTATGTACATAAATGTGTATAAATACATATACTTATGTATATATATGTATACAGACTAGCACGTATGTGCACACACATAAAAATACATGAATTCACATATATATAATTTTTCTCATACACTGACTCATCCTGTACAGTTTGTTTTGCCACTTGGATTTTAATAGTATGTTTCAGAGGACTTTCCATGGCAGTAAATAGACAGCTGCCTTATTATTCAGGGATTGTTAATTACCCTGGCTCTATGCTCTAGTCTCAAGCTTCTTATTTGGAGTGTTTAGAGGTCTGGTGTGTTGTGTGGTTCCACATCTGCAGTGCTAGTGGCAAGGATATTGAGAGGCTGAACTTCTCTCTAAGAGCGCAAGGCAGAGAGTGACCCAGCTGGGACATCCTAGACCTATGTGACCTTTTAACTCAGAACTTCCCCAAGAGGAACCGTTTAGACAGATGCATGGCCTCAGCATTCAGCATGCATTACATAAAGTGGGTTCTTACTGGCATTCCAGGGAACCTGTCTCATCTAAGTATGAATTGACGAAGGCTTTTTTTTCTTTCTCCCAACCCAGCTACGGGTAGAGAGGAGAAGCCATTGACTTCCCTCTGTGTACCAGCCTTGGTCTGGCCAAATATCACTGTCTGCAGAGCTCTGTAAAGGCTAAGGGCCAGCATTTAGGCAGTGGACAGCAGGGCATCGACCTGGGACTCTGCAGGGGCTGCGTACCCTGTGCGGGACCGGCTCTTTCTCTGCCGGTCCTCCTTGGTGATACATGCTGGTACAATAAAAAGAATGCAGAGAGGACATGTATATGTAGGAAAATCATTCTTCCCCCCAGTATTTGTGCGCTCCTAATATAACTGGGAAAAATGTCAAAGCACCGCAGCTCAGCTCTTCCCAATGAATCGCCTTTGCTTTTAGATTTTTGTCATTTTGTTCACTTGCTTTTGTTGCTGTTAATGAGGGTGCTTTGATTAACATAGGCTATTCACACATGATGTCCATGTTTATTCTTGCACTGAAATCAATAGATTTTGTTTTATTTTGTAAGTAAGTTTTGTACATAGATATTCTAGTTATTTCAGATTTCTTTTTGTTTTTTTAATCAGTCATCATGCTTTACCTATTTCAGGTTTGTGGATACCGGATAAAATTGCACTTTGATGGATATTCTGATTGCTATGACTTCTGGGTAAATGCAGATGCTCTGGATATTCACCCAGTGGGGTGGTGTGAGAAAACTGGCCATAAACTCCATCCTCCGAAAGGTATTGTCACTTTTCTGTTTCATATTTTAAATTCTGTAAAAACTTCTTTCCTTACATGGTGATTTGGAATTTTTAAGAGTTCAGACTTTATAATGATTCAGATAGGCCCAAATTTAAGCTTATTGTTTATGAAGAAAAATACATTCATTAAAGTGAAAGAAATGTAAAAAGTAGAATTCTATTTAAGAGAATAAACTATGTCCATGTACTTATTTGTGTATAAAATAATATTTGACTGATACTTAATTTTGAATACAAATTTTAGTTACAGATTTCTTACATACACACACCCATGCGCCGCCCCCCCCCCCGACTCTTGAACAACGCAGGGGTTAGGGGCGCTATCTCCCAGCACAGTTGAAAATCCACATGTAACTTTTGACTCGGTAAAAACTTAATTATTAATAGCCTACTGTTGACCAGAAGCTTTACTCTTAATATAGTCAATTAACACATGTTTTGTATTTTATATAGATTATATACTATATTCTTACAATAAAGTAAGCTAGAGAAAAAGAAACATTATTAAGAAAATCTTAAGGAGGAGAAGATATGAATACATGGACCTGTACTGTGCAGATCCATATTGTTCAGGGTCAAAAATACATATATCCTTGAAAAAACACATTTGAAAACCTATTTAAATGACTAAGTTTACTTACTGATATTTCGTTATATAGAGAATCTCAAGGAATTATGCATTGAATTCATGAATCTTAATATTTAGAAGATTGGAAAGGAGAATATAGCATTAAAAGCTGGTTAAGATGGGGGTTGAATTAATAGCCATTACTTTTTTATTCTTGAGTTCTTTATAGTACAGTCTGGCAGTCATTCTGCCCGTTTCATTTTTACATAAAGATCCAAGAAAAACAGATAACCATCCTTTTCAGTCCGTCCCTAATGTATTTAACAATATCTTATTTCTTTCCTTTTCAACGTTACGTTCAGTATTGTTCACTTGATGTCAAAGATCCAGGTGGCTAGTGTGATATTGTTGGCCTGTCTCAGGACTCTCATTTTTTCATGCACTAGCCATTCTTTGGTTTTAAGTGAAAAATTAATGGCAGAATGGTATTTTCAGTTGGCTGAAGGATTAGACAAAAACACAGAAAGAAATGAGGGTGAAAAAGAAAATCTGTGTGCCTTTATATAAATTGACCTCCTATATGTGGTGAATTATTAGCTGTTCTTTTAATGCTGCCTTTTGGACTTCAATGGAAGTAGAAGAAAGAACATGAGCAGATAAAATAAAATACTCAATTTCCTTTTTAAGGGAAAGGTTGGCTTCAGCAACATTAAATGTGAAATTGTGAGCATTAAGGCAAGGACATTTCCATTATTATAATTTGCCAACATGCTTACTTCATAAATCTTGAATTGTCATTCTGGTGGTGATAGGCTAAAAAGATTTTTCTGTTTTATTACTGTTTTCTCCAGTTTCCCACTTGTTTCCTACAAGTGAGTTTCTCAAAATAGAACAGGGGAGGAGAAAATAAAGATTTTCACTCCTCTGGCTTACTCCTCTACTGCTGAGCAGTTACACCTAAATACTGGTAGAAATGGCCTGGAATAAGAAGACGCAGACCTGAATATAATATGTATTTGCTTCCTTTTACCTTTTCTTTATATCCGTTATCATTCATTCGGAATTAAAAAAAATGATACGATTTGTTGGAAATTAACACAGCCTGTGTAGGAAAATCTATAGTTATGAATTATGAGTTAAATTTTGTCTTTTTAAAAAATCAGTTGTTTGATTTCAACTTGTTGGAAGTATAGCTAAAAGTGGGAATGGAAAATTAAGTGTGAAGTATTTTGACATTTTACTAAGTCCATATATATGTGCTTATCCAAGGTTATAAAGAAGAAGAATTTAATTGGCAGACCTATCTTAAGACATGCAAAGCTCAAGCTGCTCCCAAGTCGTTATTTGAAAATCAGAATATAGTAAGTACATCCAAAATACTTTTCCTTTCAAGGGAAATGACTTTTGAGTGTTTCGTAGGTTAAATTAAAAGTGATACCAAGAGACTATAGTAAATTTTATTGCTTTGGTATATAGAGCACTCTTAATTAAATTTTAAAATTAGCTTAAAATCATCATGAATAAATATTTCATGGGCAAATCATGGTTATTGTGTTTTATTTAAGGGTAGAAGGCGATATAGTATGAAACCCTGGTGTAATTTACAGTAAAAGTACATTTAAAAAATTGAAATTGAGCAGGATATTTTATTGTTAGTGTCTCTTGCTTAGAGTGCTGTTCACATGGGATTCATGCAGTGAGATGAGTGTAGCCCTGTTTGTATTTGCATGCTAGGGACCATGATTTACCTTCACTCCAGCGTGTAGCTTTATTTTGCCGTATGACAGAAGCAAAGTCTGGATGTGTATGTATTTCCCACTTTTTTGACCTGTGTTCCCACTTTCCATTGCGTGTTCCCTGTTGCATCTCTGAAGAAGCCCAACATGTTACACTCTTCTTTCTTGTCCATGTTCTGATCTAATTGGAATTAACAGAGAGCAAGCAGGTGGAAAGCCAAAATACCATCTTTCTAACAGATTAAGGGCTCAGTTGGAGTACATGCATGGCTTCTATCTGTTGACACATGAGCTTCTTGATTCTGAGACCTAGAATTACGATTTCCTGACCCTTCTGCCCCATTCCCCAAGCCCAGGAGCACTGGACAAGGGCAGATCTACACCCCTGCAGGGACAGGAGCAGATGGAAACTGCGTGCCCTGTAGGCCAGCTTATTTTTAAGAGTATGACCACTTCCTTCTTCCAGAATCACCAGTCAGGTAACAGTGAGTGAGAATGTAGAAAGAGACAATAATGTTTCAATAATGGGGTTCCCTCCAAATGGAAATGAATATTAGGAGTGGGCAGAAACTTTCTCACCCACTCCAAATACCTTCCATTTGGGAAATGATTTTAACAGTTGTTTTGAGCATTGGTCTGATGGCTAAAAGAGTCTGATCAAATTGAGCATAAGCCAGGTTGAATTAGAGAACTCAAGAGGGTGTGTGTGTGTGTGTGTGTGTGTGTGTTTAGGTAACTAATAGAGCTAATGAGCCAGATCATTATTTTAAAATCCCTTAATTGAGAGGAGAGCTTAATTACTGAAATGTAAATACTGTGTTGTCAGTAGGTATTCTCTGTCAAGCAAGGGAGGGAGGTCAGTTAGGTGGAAAATTCAGCGGCCTGCTCCAAGATTCCTCCTAATCCCTGTCTGTTCTCTGAGGATGCGTTCAGTCATGGATTTGATTAATTGTCTTGAACCATCATCTTAAATTCTGTCCATTGCTAGCACACAACTTAATCTTTGGCTATGAGTTTGATATCCAAGAAGAAAGTAATTTTTCTATTTCTAGATTCTTCTACCTAAGAATACTCAAATATTTGTGGCCAGAACCCTGGTAAATAATTTCAGGACTTAAATGTACCATCAAGGTGTCTGTGTAGCATTAATGCCTACTCCTTCTATTCATATAAGACATCTGCTAACATTTTCAGATACGTGGCTGTCTACGTTTTTGTAATGGTAGCTGTATAATTATAGTAAAATGGGAGATAACATTTGTTTTGCTTAAAGTAATTAGAATAGTATCTGTATACTTGTCTGGGCAGAGGATTTTTTTTTTAGAAGGGCAGAAATGACTTGTGTGTTATGATTGACATTACTAATATCCCAGTACACTTCTCCGACTTAGGATAGTTTTCTTCACACAAGATCCTAAGGAATGTTTACGTTTTACTGCACCTCAAGCACTAAATCTTATCGAGCTATTATTGTCTTAGTTCCATGTCCCAGGTGGCTGGTCATGTTTGGTTTTCCTTATATTACAGACTGTTTTGAATGGCTGTATATGTTCAACCAGTTCTTTTGGTGCTTTTGTGAATAATATCTGTAGTGTTAGGTAAAAGTTGTAATAATTTGCAGCCTTTCATGTCTGAAGATGACCTGGTTTCGGTAGAGTACTCTTTAGAGAGATCTTTTCAGAAATGGGAGTGAACTTGCACTGACTCATACACATTTTTCACTTGATTAAGTGCATATTTTGTGTGAAATAATTTTCATTGTTAAGTCTGTAATCAAGGACAAGAAAAACAAAAAGTGAACTGTATGGCGAATTAAACTTGCCCAACTAGTAACTGCGGTGCCAAAACACATATTGAAATTAACTAAACTCTGTGAGGTTATGGGTGTTTTAGTCTTGATATCTAGATAGTTGACTTGGGTGTACCAACAGGACGCTGTTTTCTCATTGCTGCTCGTTGGAAAGCGACCCTGCTCTAAAACTAGTACATGCTCTTTAAATAATGTGAATGCAGCTGACGGATGCCAGGTCTTCAGGCGGGAGGTGTAGAGAGGGTGCAGATCTCGCTGTTAAGTGTGTGCTTATCTCTAATTAAATCTGTGTGTTTCGTAGACAGTGATCCCGTCGGGCTTTCGAGTTGGAATGAAGCTTGAAGCTGTAGACAAAAAGAATCCTGCGTTCATCTGTGTTGCTACGGTAACAGATATGGTGGACAATCGTTTCCTGGTACATTTTGACAACTGGGATGAGAGCTATGACTATTGGTGAGACCTTTTCCGTTGCTGTGTGCTTTCTGTAATGGGTGTATTCAAGTCCACCAGGTGTACATGGTTTGAAAACAATAATAATGCCAAGCTCGTGACAAAAAATAACAGTGCCTTGTCCCACTCCTTCCCATTTCAGATTTTTGACTTTTCATCTGTTTCATATGGCACATATTTCTAAATAGTATCCTTTAATTCGACCTTATGACTTGTATTTTAACTCACTTCCTGCTGTGGAAGAGCGGTTTACCTCCTGCCCAACACGTGTTCACCTGGGAGTGCACAGAGATGCATACTTCCCTCCTCATCCTGGGTATCCATTTTCTCAGAAAATATTTTAATTTTCCTTCATATTTTTATTCCCAGTAGCTAATTGAACCATTTTTAATTGCCATATATAAATAAATTAGTTGAGGAATATTGTTTTTAATCCTTAGAGTTTTGGGACAAACTGCAAAAAGTAGTAGGAGCAATGTATTATAGAATTATATAACTGTATACAATAAAGCCATCATATTTTGATTAAGCAGTTGAAATAATGATTTCCATACCTAATTCATGTTTATTGATCATTACAATTCAGTTTCCTGGTGAAAGGCATTTCTGAAGTATTTAATTCCTTCCTAGAACACTGGCAGTGAGAACATTTTAGAGCAGTGACACGTATCTTTATAAAATATGGCTAGTGTTACAGTATCAGTTGAATAATAATTTATATAGGTGTTGCTACATTTCAGGGAATTTTGTTTCCTGACCTTACCTTTTAGTATGCATACATTTAAAAATTCAGCAGAGTCATCAGTAATTTCCATTACTCCTCAAATTAAATTCTTAGACACTCACCAGTTTTATATTGTTTTAAAAAGGAGAGGCATTGAAAGCCATTTGCTATTCATATTTTTTAAATGCTTTCTATTATACATTACATGTGCTTTTTACAGATTTTTTTTTTAGGGGTAGACAAGCAGTTCCATGATTATACCACACGGAGTCAAGTACTTCTGAATGTTTTGGTGTGTTTTTCCCCAGCTTTTTTCTGCAAAGCATAATTTCCCCCATAGCATGTCTTTTCATTCAGTTTGCAATAAAAATTTTTATTGAAATATAGACCATTTCAAGCAGGTACAGAAGTAGCATAATAGTGACCTGCCTGTAGCCGTTATGCAGCATCAATAATTATCAACTTAAAATTCACTCTTGTTTTCTCTGTATTCCTTCTCCTAAAATCCCCACTTCAGGATTATTTTGAAGCAAATTCCAGATAGCATAGCATTTCATCTGTATATATTTCAGTATGTATCTTTTAAACATAGGGATTCTTTTTCTTCAAATTCATAATGTTATAAATGCCATGATGTTATTAACATACTTAAACATTGTTCCCAGTTGTGTTAGTTTTGGTTTTTTGTGTTTTGTTTTTTTTTTTTTTTTTTTTAGATTTGATAGTTTTAAATCCAAATGAGGTGTACACATTGTGATTATTTTGATGTTTCTCTTCCTCTCTTAATTTATAGATTCCTATTCCTCTTTCTCTGCCCCTTGTAACTTTTACTGAAGAAACCAGGGTGTTTGTCCTATTGAGTCTTCCACAGTCTGGATTTGCTGATTGAATTCTCATATTGCTTACCATGTTCATCTGTTCCTCATATTTCTTATTAATTGGCAGTTTTTGTTTTATTCAAAATTATCTGTACCTAACTTGAGTGAGGGAATCGATGAGAAAACATTTAAATTTAGTAACACTATAAATCTGTTCTGAGGTTGAACGTGTTTCTCCCCTGCTGTGTTTGATGTGCTATAATGATGACAGTACCAGAGTGATGACCAGATCCCTTAATAAAGTGATACTTTAGGGGCGCCTGACTGGCTCAGTCGGAAGAGCTTGTGACTTTTGATCTCAGGGTCATGAGTTCGAGCCCCATGTTGGGTGTAGAGATTATTTAAATAAATACTTAAAAAAATAAGTGAGGGGCGCCTGGGTGGCTCAGTCATTAAGCGTCTGCCTTCGGCCCAGGTCATGATCCCAGGGTCCTGGGATCAAGCCCTGCATCGCGCTCCCTGCTCCGCAGGGAGCTGGAAGCAGGAAGCCTGCTTCTCCCTCTCCTGCTCCCCCTGCTTGTGTTTCCTCTCTTGCTGTGTCTCTCTCTGTCAAATAAATAAATAAAATCTTTAGAAAAGTAAAAATAAATAAGTGATACTTTAAAGCAATTACTAGAATTTGTTAAAATGAGCGCTTTTATTTTTAAAGTTCTGATTCATTTAGGGAGATTTTTATTTTTTAGCTTTTGTCTGATTTAAACAAAATGGGTAAATGTTATTTTTGTGGTCTTAGATGTATTAGAGAGTTTGAAAAGTGTAAGTTGTTTATTTGACATAAGATATGTTTCCTTTAAAAACTTTCTTCTGGAAAAAAGTAATGAAAAGCCTAGAAGACTTTGACACATTCATTTTTCTTTGATGCCAAATGCCTAGGGAATAGGAAAGATATTGTGTTTTTTTAAAAAAATGATCTCTTTTAACACTGATTTTTGTACTTTTATGAGCACAAACTAATTATTTTTAGGACAGAATGTACTTTGAGGATTTACTTACACTTTCCACTCTTGACATGAAATCATATTTTGTTAATTGTCAGAAAAAGCAGAAAAAGAGTACAGCGTGTTCTCTTTCTCAATATGCAATTATGGCACATTGAAAATCACTTAAATGCATTGGAATTTCTCCAGCATTATTTAATATTATCTTCTTTGATCTTTGAATTTTGGAATGGTTTTTATCTGCATAAATTACTTGTTTAGGTATGTAATTGAGGTTACAAATTGGATTGCTTTCCCAATTTAAAATAGTTTGGAAATGAGATTTTTTTTTTTTTTTTTTTTTTTTTAATTTGGATAGTGATTTTCCCTTTTTTTTTTTTTTTTTACCTTAGTGGGAATTGGAAAATGTGTATAGTTGACCCTTGTACAGTGTGGCAGGGGTAGGGGCCCTCACTCCCAGTGCAGTCACAAATTTGTGTTTAAGTTTTGACTCTCCAACTTAAAGCCTGCTCTTGACCGGAAGCCTTACCGATCACATAACAAGTTGATGAACTTGTATTTTGTATGTTATGAGTGTTATATATTGTATTCTTACAATAAAGTAAGCTAGAGAAAAGAAAATATTATTAAGAAAATCATAAGGAAGAGAAAACACATTTATAGTACTGTATGTATTGGAAAAAATCCACATAGAAGTGGACCCATGCGGTTCAAACACGTTATTGTTCAAGGGGTCAACTGTATAAAATCCGTGTACATTTATAGTAGTACAAATGCAATGAAACATTTCTTCCTTCCAAAGAGGAAAACTGAAAATTTATGCAGAGTTGAAGTAGTTTTTCATGAAAGGAAAATAGTATATATTAGAATAAATTTTGCTTTACCGCTGGGTTTCCTATGTGCTTTTATTATACTGGTAATTGCTAGCTGCTTAATTCTGTCCCCTTGACAGTCATTAGATTTATTAATAATCCTAAATAGCTCCGAATAGTAGAACTAGAAAGGACTTGAAAGCCGGGGAGGAACACCATCCAGGCGAGGATGCTGCTGTCCTCCCAAAGCAGTGTGCCGCCTCTCCTCCTGTCTTCCGCCGCCTGAAAACTGGGCTTCGCAGCGGAGCACTGATGTGAAGGAGCATCCCTTCCGTTCCCCCAGGCGCTGGCCAGGAACCTTCTTTTTAGAAATTTTATTTTCATGTGATCTCATCTTATGGGAACCAGGAAGGCCAGGATTTAGCTGATTGTTGAGTAGAAAAGCTGTCACCATTGAGGTTGCGGCTTCAGCTGTCCCTGAATTTCGGTCTGGTCTCCGAGGTGAGGCAGGGCAAAAAAATCAACAAGTAGATCTATGAAAAAGAGAAGCATTGAGTTAGTGAATTAGAACAAACAGGAGGCTAGGGCCTTTATCTCCAAACTTTGTTGTTGTTTTTTGTGGTTTGGTTTTGTTTTGTTTTGAGATGGAGTTCTTTTACATTTATAAATTGAGAGTAATAGTAATACTATGTTTGTCCCCAAAGTAATGTTGAAAAGTTTGCAGCATGTTGTCAGTTTCTGAGAGCAGTGTCAAAGTTAATAGGTTTGTCATCATTTGAGAAGCATGGGTTGATGGTGGTCATGAGTTACAGAGATGAAAAGAAACTAAGCTCTGCACTCCTGCCCTGAGGGGCTCAGGGTCTGGGGAGGGATAGAAACTACAGACTCCACCGTCTAGGCTGCAGGGTAGGTGGTTTATGCTTAGTAGAACCAGCCACTTGCTGTCTAAGGTGGCGGGTGGAGGGAAGGACTGACTGATTGAATGGAGGGTTCTTGGGGAAGGCTTCCTGGAGGCTGTGGGATTTGAGCTGGACCATGAAGGATGATAGGAATCAGTACTTAGATGTTGGGATAGAATATTCCTGGCCAAGGAAAGCATTTGCTCATATTTAGGCGCAGGGGGGGCAAACAAAGCTGTGTTTGGGGACTGGCAGCCCATCCATTTAGTAAGTGACTGTACTCTTCTAAGCTTTAGTTGCCCCCTTTGCAAAAGGGATACTACTGCATATCTCACAGGGTGTTGTGAGGATGAAAAGAAAAGTTTTAGAAGCAGACACTAGTTTGCAGAAGATTAAAGAGATGCCTGCAAGAGACTTCAGGCAGAGAAGTTTGGCCCTGAAGGCGAAAGTGGATTATGGCGTGGGGTGGGGGGTGGGGGCAATCAATAGTCAGGGCAGGGTTCCCTGCACAAAGAGAGTTTTGAGCTTGGTTTTCAGGCTGAAGAAATGAGGACACCATAAGGGAGATATCTGAGCTTGTGGTCCTGTCAGAAGAGCTAACCTGGGGCAGGGGGGTGGGGTGGGGGGCAGGGTATGAACTCCCTTCCCTGTCAGCCCGAAGGAGATGAAGAAATGACGGGAAAATTTGAGAGCGTAATGACACGGCATCTCCTTCCTCTTTCCCAAGGAGTCACTGTGTTAGTGAAAAATCA